GTCCCGCCAGGGGCGCGGCTTCCTCCCTGCTCTTCCTCCGGTTGACGTTTCCTGTCCCCGTTGGTCTCCTTGCTGCGTTCAAGGTGGAGCCGCCCTTTTGCTCTGTTCCAGGCGCACCCTTAGGTTACTGCGCCCTGCAGCCAAGGCCGCAGCCCGCGCGCAGCGCTCTGAGCGAGTCTGACCCGGACCCTGTCATTCCTGCGCCGAGAGTCAGTGTCGACTCGCCAACGACGCATGAGCTGCTTCCTTAGTTGAAACTGCCATTTAACCCTTAACTATAGGACGTTTCGTCAGTGAGAAATAGAGCGATTCCCTTCACGTGTGATGGTGGCGAAAGACGATTGAGTTGCAGTTTATTCCGTGTCTGCCAAATAATTTTAACTTCAGTGTTTGCGCGGCGAGTGGGCAGAAGGCCCGGGACAGTCGGATGCAGCTTGTCCACAGCCTGGGGACCGCAGGCGGCCCCGCGAGCCTGGGACGCGCCGCCCACGCACCTGTCCCCCGGCCGCAGGCCCCCCGGGCAGGACGGCGGAGCGGACAGGCGGTTCAGGAGCTGGGAGGGGCGGGCAGATGCGCCCCCGACGGCGCCTCACTGGCACCCCTCCCACCTTTCGCTCGACCCAGCTTCCCTTCCACACCCTCTGGAGGCTGACAGTTCGTGGGCCTCTCCTGGCCGCCCCTTCGTTGCTTTCCCACGTGATTCCTCGTGGGACTTCAGGCCGGCAGCCGCCTTCCCCGTGCGCTCGGGCCGGCAGTGAGCTCCCGCGCTCAGCTCTGGCCCCTCCCTCTGACACATCATGCTGGATGCTGTTACCGTCCTCCTGTGTGTACTTCTTATCTGCTGGAGTGAGCTCCTTAGATGGGGGAAGTACCTCACTCATCTTGGCGAGGCCCTCAGCATTCAGTAAAAATTTGCCTTTAAGTTTGCAGTAGGTTAGAAATGAGGACACACAGGTCCTGTGCACATATTCTGACCGGTGCTGGACAGTTTTCTTTTCAGGGTTAAAAAACAACATCTGTGTGCAGTGCTTTTGAAGTTAACTGCCAGTTTCAAGATTCTGTAAAAGATCAGTGTTTAGCTTATAACCATGACATTGGCATTAGCTTGTTATTAAATGTACTGAAAATCCTTCAGTGTATATTTAAGGCAAATTTCAGAATGTGAGCTGGTGTGACTGTCTTCATATATTTTAACTTTTAAGTCTCATATTTCAGATACTTGATAAGTAATTAAGAGTTCAGGTTATTGATATGTAAAGCAATTACTGGTCATTTACAAGTAACGTACCGGCTAAACATTAAAACAGTGTGCTCACAAAACTACCCAGGTGAACTCTGTCTGCCAGGAGGCCTCTCTGAGTGATCCATCTTGATGTCAGCAAATTGCTTACTAATGTGTTGACTCAGGGCCACCCTCAAAAGCAAAATGAAAAGCCTGGAATTTACAGCATATCAATGAATCAGTTGATAAGCTTTTACTGGTTTAATATCCTCGAAGTCTTGCTGCTTGGAGCCACTTCAAGTTAGCAACAGAATGTTTGCCATCTCTATGTGATAAAGGAACTCAAAGGACTAAACAAACTTTCAGACCATTATGCTGTTTGGTGAGATGTAAGTGAAAAAAGTAGGAGAAATCTCACGCGGGAGGGTGTGGGAGCGGCAGCCCCTAAAGTCAACCACAGTGTCTGACAAATCACTAACTTCTTACACAATGGTCAGGACTTTCAGCCTGGGTGGAGATGATATAGTGCATTTGAAAAGTTTTAATTGTGGCCATAAAAGGCCCTGCCTCAGCTATATGACACCTGCTCGAGGACCGTCCAGATAAGGATCAAAGGCGTTCTCCTTGGCCGCCGGTCCGGGCATCGCTTGGCCTCTGGGTGCTGGCGGCGGGCTCAGCGCTGCAGCTTGGGGCCTCTGCAGGCAGCTTTGATCTGAGCTCTGGGTGCAGCAGGCCAGCCATGCTGTCCTCACAGCTCTGCGCCCTCTGGATGGAGCATGCTGACTCAGGGTCAGTTCTGACACTTGCTCATGGCCAGAGCTCAGCATTTGACCTGCTGGTTCTTACCCCAGGACACCGTCTGTCTGAAAGAACCTACGGGCAGCACATTGGCACTCTGCTCGGTGTAGTCTTGTTAGGAATGCGCAGGGACATCTTGAGGCCAGGCTGGTCTGTGGAGAGGAATTCTTCGTGTGTGAAAGCATGAGAGTTTGTAGGAAGACGACCTCTGTACTTTACTAAGTAACACCCAATAGGTGCTTGAAAACTAAAGTCCGAAGAGAGTTCATTAATAACCCTGCAACACAGGAGTGGAAATGCAAGGCCACAGCTCTTTCACAGGAAGATAGATTGACTTATAAAAATAGAATGGCCAAGCTAATCTAATCTAGAGTGTTAAAAACATATCCATCTTCCCAAGCTCTTGGAACTTTAAAGGAAACAAAACTTCCTAATTTATAATTGTGCCTAAAAATACCCTGGTCTTGCCCCTCTCTGCCTTTCTTGTCTATTGATTAGACTTCGTTTTTCCTGAAGGTAACTTATCGTTGGTATAAGCCAGTGGTTCCCAAGTACAGCAAAGATGTTTTCACCCACTTGCCAAGGACGTAAAAACTAACTTCAGCGGAGTGAAATGTTTATACAGCTAAATGTCTTTGCTGTAAAGAAATCTCCTTCAGTGTGTGGCCAAGTACTCCTACTTTTCTGGTGTTGAAATAGAGCTGACTCTGAGGGTGTATGGTGTTCCAATTCCACCAGTCTGGAGACTGGGTACAGCACTAAACGGGTGTTGGGAGAGGAAGGAGAACCCGCCGCTACCTCAGGTTCATTGGCTGGTGGGGGCCGTGGAGCTGATGTTTGCCACCATTGACTGTGGGATGTATCATAGGACTGACTTCTAGTAATGTGCAATTTCAATTTTTAAGACTACAATAAAGTGAATTTGCATGAGTTTAACATTCATCAATGGTCAAATTGGAGATAGAGCCTAGGAATGTGGCTGCTGGGTGCACACGTCACCCCAGATCAAAGACTGGGTGCTCCGCAGGTGACTAAGAATTCACCGTATCTGGTACTGGTGGTTACTGCACAGTTTGCTTTGTAAACTTTCCAGGTTCTGAAATTGAAACATTAGAACTCTAGTGGTTCTATGCACATGTAGGCTATGGGAGGGTGACGAGGTGAAGGCCTGTGGAGAGACAGGTGTCAGAGGCCGAGCTGAGAGGCAGGCCTCTGCAGGAATGTCACTGACTGTCACAGAGCTAGCCTCCCACCCCAGGAGCCACAATAAAGCCATCGTTTGTTTTGGTGGTGGAATTTAGTTTTTAAGTGGGAGTATTCACAGGAAACCTGCAAACACTGGTTCTTCTGAAGCTGGACTCCAGTACATGTGCTAGTTCTGGAAAACGGGGATGAATATTGAGAAGCCCAGACTAAGAGTTATAGTTTTAGTTTAAATAGTTTAGTCTGTGGTTTCTGGATTTTAACTAACATATAACATTGGGTAAATTTAAGGCACGCAATATGATGGTTCAATACACTTACGTATTGTGAAATGATTGCCACAGCAGGGTTAGCTAGTACTTCCGTCATCTCACATAATTTTCTGCAGTGAGAGCATTTAAGATTTCCTATCTTGGCCACCTTCAAGCATATAAGATGTTTTGTTAACTACAGTCACCATGCTCTATCTTAGATCTGCAGAACTATGGAAGTTTGTACACTCTGACCAGCATCTCCCAATTCCACGGGCGCCACCATTCTCCTCTGGTTCTGTGGGTTTGACTTGCAGATTTCACATATAAGTGCTACTGTATAGTATTGGTCTTTCTCTGATTTACTTTACTTAGTGTAATAAACTCAAGGTCCATCCATGTTTTTGCAAATGGTAGGCTTGCTATCTCGTGGCTGAGGAGTATTCCATCTTCCATCATGCCTGCCTGCCCCATCTTATTATTTTTATTAAAAATGTTTTTATTGATTTCAGAGGGAGGGAAAGGGGGAGAGAGAGAAACATTAATGATGAGAGTCATTAATCGGCTACCTCCTGTGCGCCCCCTCTTGGGTATTGAGCCTGCAACCTGGGCATGTGTCCTGACCAGAAATTGAACCACGATCTCCTGGATCCTAGGTCAATGCTCAACCACTGAGCCACACCGGCCAGGCCCCATCTTCTTTGTCGTTCATCTATGGATGGACCCTTGAGTTGTTTCCACATCTTGGCTTCTGTGAAAGAGAGAATGAACACGAGGTGCAGATATCGCCTTGAGATCCTGATTCCATGCCCTTTAGGGTAAATGCCCAGAAGTGGAATTGCTGGGTCATATGGTGGTGCTGTTTTTAATTTTGAGGCACATAATGCTGTTTCCACAGAGACTTCACCAGTTTACATTCCCACCAGAAGCACATGGTGTCCTTTTCTGTCTTTGCCAGCACTGGCTCTCTCTTGTTTTTTGGATGACAGCCATCCTCATAGGTGGGAGGTGGTCTCTTGTAGTTTTGGTTTGAACTTCCCTGATGACTATGATGCTGAGCACCTTTTCATGTGCTAGTTGGCATCTGTATGTCCTCTTTGGAAAAATGTCTGTTCAGGTTCTTTGCCCATTTTTCAATCAGATGTTTGTTTTTTCGCTGTTGATTTGTATGAGTTCCTTATATTTTTTGGATATTAACCCCTTATCAGATACATGATTTGCAAATGCTTTCTCCCATCAGTAGGCTGCCTTTTCACCTTGTTGACTGTGTCCTTGCTCTGCAGGAGCCTTTTGGTTTGACTTAGCCGCTTCTATTTTTTCTTTTTCTTTTTCATGTTCTATCAAAAAATTCGTTGCCAAGACCAATGTTAGGGGGCTTTTCTCTGTATTTTCTAAAAGGAATTTTATGGTTTCAGGTCTTTAAGTCTTTAATCCATTTTGAGTTAACTTCTGTTACATACTCTTGATGAATTGACCCCTTTATCATTATATAACGATCATTGTCCCATTACAGCATTTGAGTTAAAGTCTGTTTTGTCCGATAGAAGTATAGCTGGAAGTACACAAGACTGCTCTCTCACTTGCGTGGAATGCCTTTTCCATCCTTTCACTCGGAGCTTGTGTGTCCCTACAGCTAGAGTGAGCCTCTTGTAGGCTGTATGTGGTTGGGTCTTGTTTTTTTATCCATTTACACCCTTTGGTTGCATAGATCAGTCTATTTACATTAAGAGTAATCATTGATAGGTAGGACTTGCTAATGCTGTTGTATTGTTTTATAACTGTTTTGTAGTTCCAGGCTTTTTATTCTAGAATATTCCTAGCCTTTTTTATTTGTATGGCGCTGATGTTTTATAATCACAGCCAGCTCTTCTGCAGAACAGACCTCCTTTTGGATTTACCTGATTACATGTTTTCTATGACTGGGTTTGGGTTAAGCATTTTTGGCACAAAAGTGCACAGGTGATGTTTTGTCCGCGCTCCTCTGTCACATTAGGGGCACATGGTGTCAATTTGCCCAGTTATTGGTAATTGTGTTAATTGGGTTTAGGAGATGTCTACCAGACCTTTTCAATGGAAAGGCTTCTCTTTCTCTTTGTAAATTGTAAGTGATCTGTGGGCAGTACTTTGAGACAGGGGGAGTACCCTATTCCTAATAGTCTTCCACCTGGTAGCTGACAGTAATTTAACTTACTGCAGAGAAGACTGAGGCAACGAGCAGAGGTAGCGGGGAACCTAGAGTTCATTAGGAATAGAAAGCAAAACATACACAGAATGCAGAGGCAATTATAAAATACCTACAAAATGAGCAACAAACTGACCTCACTAAATAATACTTTTGGAGAAGAAAGATCTAAATTACAGCGTGTGTGTGTGTGTGTGTGTGTGTAGTTATACAATCAGTTGAGTCTCATGACTCTTCTTTATGTGGAAGCAAAGTGTAGCCTGTATTTTTAAAAGTTGTAGGACAATATGTGCAGATGAAAAAAAATTTATACACATAAGGTAAAATGACTGTCAAATCTGTAATTGAAATTTTGTAATAGAAAACAGTGAATCATCTATGACTGGAGAGCCAATGCTATCGCACTCTGGAAGTCCTAAGAGTAACTCGGGGCAAGAGTGGAGCAAAGCCTGGAGAGGAGTTGGAAGGATGAAGAGCGGGTGTGACCTGAGTGAGGGCAGCATGAGATGGCCAGTCTCTGGTGGAGGAGGAAAGACATTGCTGAGAAGACAACTGGCCAGAAAACCAGGTTACCTGCAGTGAGTGAGTGTGAGGACTGCAGGTTGGGCTGAAACGTCATGGTGGTCAAGGGACAAGGACTTTTTAAAAGTAGATAATAAACTAAATGGGGCTGAGATGCAGAGCGGAGGTGAGCGCACTGCTTTCTGAGCAGGTAAAGAGGAAAGGCTCACGGTCCAGGAAGAGTGAGGGTGGCATGTGCTGTTTTTATCCAGCCACTCACCAGGAGTTTAGCTGGTTTGCTGTCCTCCTGCAGAACAGGGATGTTTGAGAAAGAGCGGGACATCTTTGCCTAGGACTCTGTCCCTTTCCCTAAATAAGGGGCATGACTGACTTGGACATATAAGTGTTTCTCAGAAATGTAGAAAATGTGCACCTGCAGCTCGTCTGTCCATGGCCTCTAGGCTCCCTCTGCTGTTTACCTCTCTCCCAGGGATAAGATCCCTCCTGCAGAGCCAGCCTCCCCCCACCCACAGGGGGACCCCTCCCAATGCTGGGACAGGGATGGCACTGTGGCATCTCAGCCAGTGCTCAGACACCCTTGCCAGAGACGCTCCTCTCTCCACTCCCTGGCTCAATGGCTTTGTCATCAAGATAAACAGTATTTTAGGTAATTTGCTCACGTACTGCATTGCATGTTGTCCTACTGCTGAGGGCAAATCTGAGGCATAGTGACATCACAGCAAGCCATGATTCTGGTTTTCTTTTGCACATTTTGGTACCTGCATTGCTGGGACAGCTACCTGAGTGACCAGGAAAGGGACTGGGAGGACCCTATTGTGTACTGCGGTAAAGTGACAGCCAAGGATTCCTGCAGGATTCTTGTGCAGCTCTGGGACACACTACTGTAAAGGACAGTGTGAGGGCGCTGGGATCAGCTCCTTGGCCTGAGAAGGTCCGACCCAGCATCTGAGGTAACCAAGGCCTGTGTGTGAACATCACCTCTCACCTAAGCACAAGGTGGCACTTAGGCTCCACGCTCAGGACAGGATAGTGAGGGGACAGAGGGTCCTGCACAGGAAGGAGGAATTCCTGTCACTCATTACTCCAAATGGAGGGCTGGGAAAACAGCAAGGAAGTGCAGATGGATCTAAAACCCATAAACTGATCCAGGAAGTGACCATGAGGCTCCACCTGAGGGTCTGAACTAGTATCCTGTCCGAGCGGCTGCCTCTCTTACAGTACTGTGATAAAGACAAGCTTGAACAACATAGGAGCATTTGTAAGTACACACTTCCAAGTGCCTAGGCCTTTGCAAACATTAATTCTTAGAACAGCTCTGCAAGGTGGAAGGTCATTCCTTCATCTAACAGATGAGGAAACTGAAGCAGCGGGCAGCTGTTACTAGCCTGAAGCCACAAAGCCGACGAGGGCTGAACTGGGATTGCAACCCAGGCTTTATGGCTCCCTCTACTCCACCTTGTCTGTCATTTTTGTCTGGGGCACAGTGATGGAACACCGTTAAAACAAGCTTCCCCCCCCCCAAAAAAAAGTATAAAGGTAAAAAGTAGCTAAAGGAAAGGGTAGAAACTGAAATTTCTGGAGAAAGGCACCTACCTTTTCTTCAAAGAATTTTCTCCTCAACTTGGCATCTGTGGGCGGCAGGGTCCTCCTCAGGTCTCGGTACCACTTTCTAACCACGTGTCCCCTCCAGCAGGCTTGGACCCTAGGACACAGTGTTAGAGAAGGACGGTCAGGTGGCTGTCCTGTGTAGGGCCCAGGGTTGGGGGCCAAGGGGGGAGGGAAAGCCTCCAACTTGTAACAAGCTATGGGGCTGGACCTCTAAGCGCCCTCCTGCCGATTGTGGGTGTCCAGGGTGGCGGGCCCTCCTCACCGTGTGGCGCACTCTGTTTTGAACAGCCGAGCTGCGTCGTGAATCACTCGGGTTTGGTACTGGCTCTTCCTGCAGAGGGGACAGGTTTTCTTGCTCGTGAACTTCTCAAAGGCCTGGAGGCATGCCTGGGGAGAGACATTTCACTTGAAACCTCACGAGCAGTTACTCATAAACAACGTTTTCACTCCTAATGTAATTATAGTGTTCTTTTCTCTCATAATTATGAGACTCAGTCCAATTTAGATCATGAAGAGGTTTCATCAGATGTTAACACCTTCCTCGTGTAACTTGTTCCAAATGACCTTTTACAAGAATACACATGCACATGCATCAAAAACCTCTGGAAACCAGTCTCGTGAAGGTAGAGGGGGCCGTGGGCAGGGTGACCCTGCAGTGAGTCACAGGGCGCCAGCTGCCATTCAAGCTGATGGACATCACATCTGCCATGTAAACGTCTGTGGCTTTTGTCACATAAAATTCACGACTTTCTAAACAGGATGAACTGTACTGTAGCCCAAAGTCATATTTATAGCTATAAATGGTGATTGTGGGTAAAACAAATGGGCCCCTGAGGAGACTCAGTGAGCAGGATAAGGCCCCATCTCGTGAAGCCATGGGTGACACGTTGCCCACGTGAAGATGAGAGGAGAGGCTTACCCTGTGGAACACGTGGGAACATGAGAGCAGCACCTGTTCATGGGGAGACAAAAAAAAATGTTTGAAGTTTCAATTAGTGTAAAAGCAGCAGCATAAATGTGTTAATTAAAAAAATTCTGAATGCTTGAAAGGTAAGCTTGTTGTTTCTTTGAAAAATTAAAAAAGCAAATTAATAAGCTTGATATTCATCATATTTAGTGTCTAAGTTTAGCAGAGCACAGGTATATAATCTCAACAAGAAAAGCTAAGCTACATCAAACACACATGCAGTTCGCTATTAAGCCATTAAAAAGATGTATATTTAAAATTGAAACAATTATGAAGTGAATGCATTTCCTGGGTGGATCCTGGAAGGGAGAGGGAGAGGAGAGGAGCTGAGAGAGGTAAGCAAATGCCTGTTTCAGGGCTGTGTACAACTACACTAGACTCTTAAATTTTTTAATGTATCAGCTTTATTGAGAGAGAATTCTGACACTCAGAGTTAAATAGCAATAAGTCCTAGCTACATACGAGTCATTTTCTGTTTTTTAAATGCAGGGAAAGTGTGGTCACAAGAAAATTTCCCTTTCTGTGAGTCAAATTCCCACAAAGAGTGACATTCTGGGTTGTGACAGACAGAAGCTTAGACTAATAAAGAGAAAGGTAGTTGTTTTTTCTGGAAGGGACAGCAAGGAGAGGTGAGGCCAGGATGACCCAAAGGCCATGCTTGGCAGGGGGCGCGCTTCAGCCATGGGGCTTCTTGGTGGCAAAGGTGTTTCTCCAGCACTTGGGATGATCTCAGATACCCAGGCCGCCTGACCTTGGGAAAATTTTCCAGTTTTTAAAGTCACCACCCCCCTGCCTTCCTTGAATGAAAGAGCGGAGGAAACACTGGACATACAACTCAGAACCAAGCCCTTCCCTTGAAACTCGCTGCCAACAGACGCCTGAATTGGAAAGACCCAGCAATATGGGTCCTTTTAAATTATTACTATTTAATTGAATAGCAATTTTTTGTGTATTTAATACTAATTTTTAATAGAATAGTCTTTTCATAGTGTTTTAGCAACACATATTTGATCTGTATTGAATCGCATTATAATTCTGTATATTTAAAATATACTTTTAAATGTCTGTAGATATGTGTTCTTGGCAAACATTCTCTGAGATAAAATAAATGATTAGGTGGTGGAAAATACATGAAAATGTCCTAGAAATTAGGGTTAGATTCCAGCTGGACCAGAGCACACTTCCTGAGTTGTCCTCCTGTAGGTCATTTGAATTGTTTGCTCCTCACGTGTTAAACGGGTAATGCCTGCCTCAGAGACACCTGAGATTAACCAAAGCCCTCTGAAATCTTTAAATGGCAGCAAATGCCAACTGTTGCTTACAGCTAAGGAAAACTTAAATACGAGAACAATAGTGAGAAGTCCAAAATGAACACAAGTGTCTACATGTATAACCAAACAAAAAGATAGAATTTAGTGAGAAATTTATAAATAGAATGGAAGAAATGGTGGCATGATATGTGCTAACCCTTCCTTTATGATAGAACAGGCTGTTTACTGCCTACAGAGGCAAGAACATACAACAGGGTAAAGATAATCTATTCAATAAATGGTGTTGGGGAAATGGGACAGATATATGCAGAAAAATGAAACTAGACCACCTTCTTACACCACATAGAATAAAATCAACATGGTTTAAAGACTTAAATGTTAGACTTGAAACCATAAAAATGATAGAAGAAAACACAGTAAAATCTTGGACATTTCTCATATCAGTATTTTTTCTGACATATCTCTTTGGCTAAGGGAAACAACAGCAAAGGAAAGCATCAACAAATTGGAAGGGGAACCCACTGAATGGGAGAACATATTCACTGATACATCTGATAAGGAGTTACTATCCAAAATTTACAAAGAACTTATAAAACTCAACACCAAAACACAAAAAATCCAATTAAAAAATGGGCAATAGACCTGAACAGACTCTTCTCCAAAGAGGACACACAGATGGCCAACAGACATGAAAAGATGCTCAACGTCACTTATGAGAGAGATGCAAATTAAAACCACAATGAGATATCACCTCACACCTGTCAGAACGGCTCCATCAACAAATCAACAAGTGCCTGGCTGGGTGTGGCTCAGCAGTTGAGCATCGACCTAGGATCCAGGAGATGGTGGTTCGATTCCCTGTCAGGGCACATGCCCCGGTTGCAAGCTCGATCCCCAGGTGTGCAGGAGGCAGCTGATCGATGACTCATCATTGATGTTTCTATCTCTCTCTCCTCCTCTCCCTTCCTTTCTCTTAAATCAATAAAGATATATATATATATATATATTTTTTTTTATAAAATCAAGCGTTAATGAGGAGAAAAGGGAACCTTTGTGTACTGTTGGTGGCAATGGTGACTGGTGGTGCAGCCAATGTGGAAAGCAGTATGGAGTTACCTCAAAGAATTAAAAACAGAACTGCCTTATGACCCAGCGATTCCACTTATGGGAATTTATCTGAAGAAACCAGAAACACTAATTCAAAAAATATATGCCCCCCCATGTTCACTGCTGCATTATTTACAATTGCCAAGATTTGGAAGCAGCCCAAGTGCCAGGCAGTAGATGAGTGGATAAAAAAAGCTGTGGTATATTTACACAATGGACTATTACTTGGCCATAAAAAAGGAGGAAATCTAACTCTGTGTGACAGCATGGATGGACCTGGAGAGTCTTATGCTAAGTGAAATAAACCAGTCAGAAAAAGGCAAATACCACATGATTTCAGTCTTATGTAGAATCTAATGAACTAACCATCAAAATAGAGACAGACTTGTAGATAGAGAGCTGGCTGACAGGTGGTGGTGGTGGGCAGGGTGGTGTTGGGTGGCTAGAATGGAGGGATTGAACCAAAAAGAAGAAAAACAAAGACTCATGGACATGGACGACAGTGTGTTGATTGCTTGGGGGGTGGGGGAGATGGAGCAGGGTCTTGGGATAAATGGTGATGGACAGAGACTTGACTTCGGGTGGTGAACACACAATACAGTGAATACAGTGTACAGATGATATAGTGTGGAATTGTGCACCTGAAACCTGTATAATCTTGTTAACCAGTGTTACTCCAGTAAATTCAATAAAAAGAAAAAGAAAGAAAGCAGTTAGTGACCTACAAGGGAGCTCCCATAAGACTGTCAGCTGACTTCTCAACAGAAACCTTGCAGGCCAGAAGCGAGTGGCAGGAAATACTGAAAGTGATGAAAAGCAAGGACCTACAACCAAGATTGCTCTACCCAGCACAGCTATCATTTAGAATCAAGGGTCACATAAAGAGCTTCTCAGACAGAAAAAGCTAAAGGAGTTCATCACACCAGACCAGCACTACAGGAAATGCTGAAGGGTCTTGGAGGAGGAGGAAGAAAAGATAAAAAATACGAACAATAAAATAGTAATAAGTACATCTATCAACAATTGAATCTAAAAAAAACTAGCAAGCTGAACAGAAACAGGCCCATAGATACAGAGAACATTTTACAGTTGCCAGAGGGGTGGGGGTTGGGGGCTGGGTGCAAAGGTGGAGGGATTGAGGGCGACAGATCGGCGGTTACGGAACAGTCACGGGATGTAAAGTCCAGCACAGGGGAGAGTGTCAGTGATATTCTAATAACTATGGATGGTGCCAGGGGGGTGGGAGATTTATCGGGGTGATCACTTAGTATATAATTTTAATCACTGGGGTGTACACGTGAAACGAATGTAATGTGTGTCAACTGTAATTGAAAAATAAAAATGATTTAAAAAAACTGGAAAAAAACATCAAAAAACAAAAACGAAAGAGGTTGCCAGGGCCAGAAACCTTTTTGGCTTCATTAACTCTCTTGTACACTAAAATGCTAAATTATCCCAGATGGTAATCCTGTGGTTTAAGGGCTGAAATCTTTTTGAAATATCTAAGTTTCACAGATGTAAGGTTAGGTCCCGATAAAGAACTGGAATATAGTATGTTTAAAACAAGTGGTGAATTCAAATTAGTAAAGACCAAGAGTTTTATTGTGAACTGTTTAACAGTAAAACAGTAAATAGTAAAACTATTTAACAAAGTAGGTTTGAGAGTTTATGTGCCAAGGGGGTAAGTGAAGCCTGCTTTTAACTCTATTTGCTGTATTTTCCCAGCAAACGTCCGAGTGCCTGCTCTGTGGGAGGCATGATGCTACCATGTGAGAAATTGTTGGGTGGCCATTAGCCCAGAAAGAAGAAAACCCTAGAAAGAAGTGTCCCTGACTTGCAGATGACAGTTAATCAGGCAGTCTGTGCAGGAAAAAAACCTATGACAGAGCATGCGTAATCTATAGTATGACCAAGTTTCACGACTAAAGATGGAGTTTACTTAGAGTCTTCCACAAATGATTTACAGAGATTTAATCCTAGTTTTTCTTTTATATTTCACAAAACAGCTTTAAAATTCCTTCTTGCTTTCACCCTTCCTCCATCCGGTCACGAACACTTCTCCGCCTCTCCCCATTGGTGTCTGGACTGCTCAGCTTTCACGGCCAGTGGATGGAGCTTTCTGTGTACACACTTTGTACTTGAGAAATGATACCCAGTAAGTGCACATAACTGCTTGCGTACAGGGCTTAGCTCTTCCTCACACGTGTACCTTAGTGGAGGGAGCAGATATAAGTACCCGAGGTCCACAGGAGGAGGAAACTGGAAAAAAGGAGCCTGGATGTTTTTTCATTCCTAATACCGCACATTAAAGTGCATGTGGGAGAACATGGATCTTAAGCCCCAGCTCAGTGTCTCCCCCGACGGGCCCTGTGCTGCTCATCTCATCCTCTGGCTACACACCTGGGGGCGAAGCTGGAATTCCTCCTTGCATATGGGGCAGGGCTGCATGGAGTCCCCCTGTGCGACAGACCTCTGCTTCACTTTCTCCCACTCATCTGATGACAGTGGCAGTGGGGGAGGTTCAAACAGGCCCAGCCTCTGCGCTAAAGTTAAAACAATGAGGACTGTGGGTTAAAATGGAGTTTACTGTGTGGCGCTTACATGATTTTAACGACACTGAGCTGTGTCCTTCTCTGGAACACAGCCAGTGCTGTTTGTGGTTCAGAGTAAAACAGGCAGGTGTGCGCTGGGCATTGTTGCGGCAGCTGGTTCCCCCCACGCTGTGCCCTCTGTACTCACACTGGGACAGTGCCCTGGACGCAACTACGGGTGTCCCCCAAAATGTATACACACTTTGAATGATTATTCCAGTGGGTTAAGTCTGAAAAGAAACATCAATTGAGCCATCAGCTGTTAAGTGTGTATACATTTTTTTGGGGGGACACCTTGTATCTTGTAAAATGTGGCATTTTAAAATCTTCTATTTCTAACTTCCAGTTTAAAATAATTTCAGACTTGCAAAAGGTAAAAACAGTCTTCATGTGTCTTTGGTCCAACTTCCCCAAATGGTAACGTTTTACATAAACCTTGTGCAGTGGTCACACGGGGCAATTAATGTTGCTAATGCTGTCCTGCTCCTTGTTGGATTTCATTCTTGTCTCCCTCGGGGCCCTTTTTCTGACCCAGATTCTATGCTGCACTCTCTTGTCATGAACTCATCGTCGCCTACAACCTGGGGCAGTTCCTCAGTATTTGTTTTTCTGCAAGAGTGCTGTCCAGGTGTTGTGTGGAACGTCATTTAATTTGGGTTTGTGTGATGTTCCCCAGGATTAAACTCAGGTGTGCACTTTGGTGAGCATACCACAGGAGGGACACTGTGCCTTTCCAGAGTGTGGGGTCGGGAGGCACTTGATGTGGGTTTGTGTCACTATCGGGGACTGTTGCTTTAATCACTTGGTAAAGTGCTGTCTGCCCCATGTTACCCCTGTAAAGCTATGGTGGTGCCCTCGCAGTGCATACGTGAGTGTGGGGAGGTACCTCCGAGTGACAGTGTCTCAGTGTGATCTCCCTGCCGATGGGTGTTGTCGCTGTTCTGTTGCCAAATGGTGACGTTCCTGTTCCGTCCCCACTGCTGGTTCATTAGCTGTCATTCTACTGCAAGAGCTTTCTCTGTCCACCAGTTAAGTAATTATTTGTTTACATGAGCACAGATGAGCTGACACTCATTTTACTCCACTGTTTTTGCTGATTGTGCTGATCGTTACTATCTTTATTTACTTGCTTAAGTTGTCCCCATCATCATCTTTAATCTTCAGCGCATACATATCTTTCTATAAGATCATAGATTACTTCTGTACCAGAGACAGTGATATTAACCTCAACCTAGTTCTTTAGATCGAATAAGCCAAAACATGAATGGCGAGGTCCACTCACCTAAAGTTAACGGTGGCGGCTTTGGATCAAGAACATACTCTTTTTCTGGATCTTCCTCTTTGGGGCCTTGGGTGGTCTTTTGAAGTCCTGTATCTATCACAGCTTTCACATTTCTTTTTAGAGACTTGGATGTGTTCTCTCTCGTCGGCAGCTTTGTCTTGCAGCTTTGGGCTACTGAAAGACCTTGCAGTTGAAGGTCATGTAAAATGTGATCTTGTAGAGCAACTGCAGTGACTGCTAAGTTATCGTGTTTAGGTGAATGGCCCTGAAAAGTAGGAAAAAAGCCATATAGACACAACATTATGTAACGTGTCATTTAGAAGAAAAGTGAGGCTTTCATGCTCCACCTAGAAAGACTTCGAGACCAAGTGTACCAGTAAAGAATGCTTGACCCATTGTTAGCTGAGTGGGAGCAAAGCCCAGTCTCCTCATTTATGGTGATGACATAGTAATATCTTTTCATTTAGTCAGTCAGGCCTTAATTACAATGCGAATAAGTTCATTATGACCTATAAAGGATGTGCATGCCTGAACACATTCTGTTTCACTCTAATTAAATCAGGCTGCAGGCGAATCTCACTCCGGTTATACTAAAGAGAGCCTTGCATTTTAGTGTACGCTTTTTTGGTGAAAACTTATAATGGATAAAATTGCCATGCAGCTGAGAGGCGCTTGCTGTGAATTCGTAGCTGACAGTTCCTCATTCAAGCAAGACTTGTCAACTATTTTTATACTCTTACACAGCTGAAGTACTACATATTGGTGACTAAAACCACGTGTATGTTTCTGAAAAGAATCGTGTACCTTATGTTTTAGCATGCTAAGTCAGGAAGCGTCGTCTCTTCTGTGGCTCTCTCAAATTATGTCATCATATTGCATTCTTTTCATTCTTTTACTGTAGAAACATGATCAACAGAAAGGGTTAGACTGCACATAAGCACAAGAACACCCCATTGCACAGCAGAACGATGTTACACACAAGTGCAAAACCTCAGGCCAGAAGACCAGGGACTGTAAGTGAAACACGTCCTCAGAGAGAACACTCACACTGGGATCCGAAGGACAGGGAAATGAACTGTGAACACGCTTTGCCGCAGCACGCCAAGGCAGTCACTCAGGAGCTCAGCACGGGGAGAGGGAGCAGCGAGTGCCCTGGATGGACGGGGAATGCTGGCTCGCGTCAGTGTGTCCACCAAACACACACAATGCGGGGACACTCTTGGGACCCAGCCTTGCTCTACCTGTTTGCTGGGCAGTTTACTTTGCATGTCTGAGTTTCAGTTTGTTCACCTTAAAATGGGTATAATAATACACACACCTTGCAGGGTTATTGTTAGGATTAAATGAGACAGTCTTTGTATTTTCCACGGGACTTCACATGGAGGATACTTTAAATGGTGGTTATTGCTCCACTCCCCTTCAAGGCTGCAGGAAGAGTCTGGAAGTGGCCCTTTCAGAAACTTAAGCCTTGTCCCATATTAAGAGCTAAAATTAATAGGAATATTCTTTCTTTGTAAACTCTGGTATTACCAAGAGGTGGGGCTTGGTAACAAAAAATACTATTGCGGTGCCAAAGTAATTAGTTACCAATTTGTCTAAGTGACCTTAAGCTATTAACATGCTCATTAAAAACATGCACACAAGAGATATAAACATACAGTTTTAAAAGTACAGTTGGACACACTGTCTTCTCTCTCATAACTTGGAATCTGTTTGCCCATTTTTGGTGAGATTACACCTGGGGTGGCCAGAAGCCATGGACAGATGTAAGATTAAATCGTTAAAATTCTCTGCAAAAACTTGGCTGTGCCTTTGGACTCGGCTCCCTTTTAAGTAACGGGCAGCATTAGGTTTCAGAAGTCACCGACTTCAGATGTCGATGTTTTTAGGCCCCACCGAGGCATGTTCACCCGAGGCTGTCCTGGCGACAGACCGCCTGCCCGCCAGGCGGCATCCGAGGGGGCGGGGGCGTGGGGAC